TTTTTTAGAAAACCTGTCATTCCTTTGCTAAAGTTTTGCACTTTAATGAGTTATACTTTCTATAAATGATCTGTTAGTGCAATGAGTACAATCTGGGAGCACAGACAGCATGTAGTAATGTAGTGCTGAACTTACAGTACAGATGTTATTGAATCTATTTGTACTTTTGTCTTACCTGGTTCAGCTGCTCCTGATCAATACCAAAGTTTGTTTGTGTTTCCTTTTACAAACGAGAGCTTCAAGTAGACTTACTGTAATGATTAAAGCCTTTAAATAAACTGATTCCTTCATGTTAGCTTCAGAAGTCCTTCAGTGTGAGTATTTAACAGGATTTAGTTTCACACAGTTCATTGCAAATTGTTCTTATGTAAACTGTTTGTTTTCTTTGTCATATTTGAGTGAAGATTTAAAAAAGGCAGTTTTTATATTTCAAAAGTCACATTACATTTCATCCAGTCAATAAAAACATTCCACAACTTCAAACTCCAATGACTTTATTATTGATTAGATCATTTACAGTGTGTACACATGAAGCTAAATATTTCTGTTTACTTATATCACTCTGCATCTTAGCCTCCTCCCATCAAACCCACACAGGGATAAATGCACATGATTAGCCAAAGTGCCTGCTGTGTGCTGGATAAAGTCTGTAAACAGGCCCTAGATGAGGTTCAGGAGTCTATTTGAAGCATGCTGAAAGGTTACTTTAACACAAAAAAATGTCGAATACCCCAGCTGTGAAGCAATGCATTCAATACCAGTAGATAGAGACAAAAACTTTAAAATAGAAGGCAGGATAAGAAAACTACATTAGACTCAAACCGCAGAACAGAATAACAGCATTAAAATAAAAAACTTCACAATATATTTAAAAAAAACTTACAATTCATTTCATTCAGACAATAAAAACGTTCCAAATCTTCAAACTCCAATGACTTTATCATTGATTAGATAATTTACAGTGTACACATGAAACTAAAGATGTTTGATACAACAGCTTGGGTGTTGGTTACATAAGTTCACAAAGCACTGCTATACTTAGAGGGGAAGAAATAGGCCTTCCACAAGAACAGGTTGATTGGGAAGACTTAGAATAAAAAGACCCTCCATAACGGTATCCATCCCTAGACTCATTATAAATCTTCCCACATGAGCATTTCCATTGATTCTGATATTGTTGCTGGACTTGGTATCCCATTCCATATAGTGGTGGATGTGCCGCATTGGAGTACACTTCATTTTCTAAACCGTCGAGACGAACAAAAGGCTTGAGGTCTGAGCTGGTAGAGCTGATTTTTATTGTGAGTATGTTTACTTTCTGGTGCTGCCCGATCCTGGTGAAAAATGACAATGACGATGGAAAGTTCCACACAACTTCCACTATTTGTGGTCTGTTCATCTGTGGTTCCACATTTCCACCTGGAGTGTTGATCACTTGTTTGGAAACTGCTGGCTTATAATGCTGTCGGGGCCTTTGAGTTGCCTGGCTTCGAAACTCCTTTTTAGGTTGAGTTTCATTAATATCCAAACTAGACTTTCTTGTGACAGAGGTGAGCTGATTATCTTTGTAGCATAGGCCATAGACATGTCCGTCTATCATATTGGTAGCATAAGTGCCATCACATAAACCGATGGCCCAATAACAGTCTTTGGAAAAGCTGATCACCCATCTCTTAAAGTCAGGAATAGGAAGTGTACTCTTAATGAAGAACATGTGGGAAGAATAAAGTGCCGTCCAATCAGTGCACAAAACCTTCCTCTTGTCAGTGGAAAGTAACACATCATGTTCCGGAGACTGTGGCTCAAAGATCAGGTGTGAATCAGTGGGAACAAGCTCCTGGTTGTGTTCGGGATCAACCAGAGTCAGCAATGATCCCCAGAACTGAGACGCCTGACTCACCATCTTCTCCCCATTCTGTCTTATCTCCTCAACCAGTTTGTCCCGATGGCTGCCCGGCTCCAGCCCTTTTTTCAGATCGACAGTCTTGGCCTTTTCCACATCCTGATGCACCTGAGAATACATCTGCAGGAATCTGAAGGTGTCCTTCTCCTTCTGTGCTGCTTCCAGGCTGCTCTTGCTTGCTTTGATGGGCTCCAGGCGAGCAGAGACTGAGCTCTGGACGCTGGTCAGAGAGATGTCACGTAGCTTAGTCACAGCCTCAATCAGACGCACACTGCAGCGACCCAGCTTCTCTCTTTCACTCTTCTCCCACTTTTCCAGACTCACATTCTCATCGTCTGTTTTCTCCTGTAAGATCAGCTGCTCAGCTTTCAGCTTCTCCAGGAGCTCTTTGTGGGCTGTGGAGAAGGTCTTCATATTGTGTAGGCGGTGCTGGTCCTCAA